TTTTTTTTGCAGTTTAGAAAATATTTACAGAGAACTGTCTACAGATATTGAGGACTTCACTCATCCTGGTCATGGTGATCTGACTGGCTGGGCCAAGCAAGGTGAGTTTACAGACACTCCAGTAACGTGTCTGCGGGTCATAAAGAAACTTGTCTAGAAAAAAGATGTGTGGTTGGAGATAGTCCATCTGTACAAGGAAAAAATCAATTTTGAGTGGCTGTTGCTTAGTGGATACCTCAGAATGAACATTTAATTTATCATTTCTCAGGGGAAGCAGGAAAAAAGCAATTAACGTTTGGTTTTTTCATGCGTTTCAAGCTCTGCGTGTCTGCTCTGTTTGCTAGGAGTGCTGCTGCTCAACGCTGTCCTCACCGTGCGGGCTCACCAGGCCACCTCCCACAAGGAGAGAGGCTGGGAGCAGTTCACGGACGTGGTGGTGTCCTGGCTCAACAAGAACTTGCACGGCGTCGTCTTCATGCTGTGGGGAGCCTATGCCCAGAAGAAAGGCAGCTCCATTGACAGGGTACGGGTTGTTAATCGTCCTTGTCGCTTTCCTTCTCAGTATTTTTTTTTCATTGGTTGGGTGGACACTAGAGGGCACTTTCCTTACAGAATTGGGCTTTTTCCTTACAGAATTGGGCTTTTTCCTTACAGAATTGGGCTTTTTCCTTGCTTGAACTCTGCTGGCAAATTCAGTTGCCCTTCTGTTCCACCGTAGCCTTTGCCAGAGTTAAGCAATAAAAGTGGAGCAAGTGTAACCTCCTGTTGTCAGAAACCCTCCAGTTGAGGACAGAACTGTTTGGGGATTCTTTTTCTAGGAAAAACCTCATAAATCAGTGTAAACTTTCTGATTAGGATTACAGCAATTGAAAAATGGCAAGGGTATTACAGCTGCTTTACGCAGTCCATCCTCTTCTGCTCAGTGGGACACAAGTCTGGGTCCTCAGGGCCACTTCTTTGGCTCCTCAGGCTGGTGGCCGAGGAGGTGCAGAGAGGAAACCCCAGCTGCGCATGGGGGGCAGAAGCAGCTGGCCTTGTCCAGGGAGCCCAAGGCATGCAAATCTAACGAGCGGTTTCCTCTAACGCTTCACAGAAACGCCACCACATCCTGCAGACGGTTCATCCCTCGCCCCTCTCTGTCAACAGAGGGTTTTTCGGCTGTCGGCATTTCTCGAAGACAAACGAGTTGCTCAAGAAATCCGGGAAGAAGCCCATTGACTGGCGAGCGCTCTGAGCAGGAGCTGCTGGGGCCTGATGGTTGGGTGCAGCCCCTGCTTCGGGGGTTGTCTCGTTGTTGAAACACTTGCTGACCTGAGGAATTGCTCCTTGAATGTCGACCAAGGAGCGAATGACCAAATTCTCAGAGATGTTTATATTTTTTTCTTAATGTTTTTATTAAAGAACAGGCTGGAGTGTTACATGGACAACTTTGTGGTGTTTGGACAAGTCTCAGCTTAGTTTGAAGCAAAACAAAACAAAGTTCTATATTAATTTGTAATTGTAATGGGAATGTGTTTCCAGGCTCTTAGGAAGGGATGTCAGTTCTTACAGGGGAAGCTGTTCAGCCTTTGTAAATACCCTGCTGTGCCTCCTCCCACTTCTTTGCCACCTCCTTTGCAAATCCAGATTTCTTCTTTTGGGGGGTGTGGAGCTGGCTCCGTGGGAGAAAAGGCAGATGCTTTGGTTTTTACCTTTTTGCTACGAATTATGAGATTTATGAGAAATGTGGCCTCTTGGGACTGTAAAGACCATACACTGTCAAATGTTGCTTGGTGTATCTGTACTCAAGGTTTCAGGGTTAATCCCCCCAGCAGCTGGGGGGAGACTGCTGCTGCTGGTCGTGCTCTGAGCTTTTTGTTGGCATTTTGAGGGGAAAACCCTAAGTTTTTAGATTCTTCCTGGGTGTGTTAATCACTTGGATGACAGGTGAGTCTGTGGTGACCACAAACTGTGGTAGCTGCTGATGGCAGCAGTGAAGGTTTGTTCTCTGAGATCTGCCAATTGATGGGCCTGAAGGCTGCAGGTAACTTCAGATCTTTTAAGATCTTAAAGCAGGGATTTCTCTGTTTTGCCTTCATAGGAGCTAATTGAGGGGTTTGGCCACTGTTGTAAATAACTGTTGAGACTTCCAGGATGGAGACAAGGTTGGACTTTGCACTTCTGGGTTTCCAGTCCATCTTTGGCTTTGCATTTACTTTAATAGAAGTGAAGTGCCTTGTTCGTTTCAAAATGACATCTGTTTTTATAGAATAACCCTGTAAACTTTCCTTTGGCGTTTGTTCCCACAGGTAACACTACTGCAAGAGAAATTTACACTTTCTGTGGCTGTGGTGTATTTCTTGTTTGTTTTTTTTTTCCCCCAGTTTGTGTTTTTTGTCAATAAAAATGACTTTTTGTTTATGATATGATCTTATCATGCTGGAACAACACAGGGCAGAGGGGAGGGGTGCCTGGGGGTGGGAGGCCTTGGCTCTGCAATGGGTGCTGGGGTGG